GGGAGCTGACCTCAAGTGATGAGAAGCGTTTCAGGATCCTCAGGAGCCAGGTGGGGTGGCGCTCTAATGTATGGTGAAAAGCTGCTGTTCTTAGGTCGAACGTGAACTGCTTGAGAATGCTGATGTTATTTGCACGACTTGTGCAGGGGCTGGCGATCCTCGACTAGGGAAGCTGCGTTTTAAGATGGTAGTAGAGTCCTCGCTAGTCAACAGGCTTTAGTCCGTGTCTAGGTCTTGGTGGATGAGGCGACGCAGGCCTGTGAGCCAGAGGCGCTCATTCCTATCTGTAACGGTGCTAAGCAGGTGACCATCGTTGAGGGTCAGATGTCTCTCGAGTAAGGGAATGCTCTCAGGTGATACTGGTGGGTGACCATAAGCAGCTCGGCCCAGTGGTGATGTGTAAGAAGGCGGCGAAGGCTGGCTTTAAGCAGGTAGGATTCCAGTATGGGAGAATATGCATATGGTCAACCACATGTGTTGGTGACAAGATGGAAATTCTGAGGACCTGGGAGAAATTCTCATTGGTTTCTACATGAATTGGCATACGAACTCCTATGATTAGTGGAGAAACTCCTGAGCTCAGCTGAGGAAAGCTCCATATACTCCAACACTGCTTCATCCCATGTCGTGGAATACACTGTCGTTGTTAGTCCTTGTTTGAACGTCTTATCGCCCTCGGCGTTCGACCGATCCGGCTTGAAGTGCAGTACCGTATGCATCCGAGCCTTGCGGAATTCCCGAGTCAAGTAGGCGAGCTCTCTAGTGGAAAGTAAGTATACATGATAATTGCTTTTCAGACATTCTATGATGGCTGCCTACAGAATGGCATTACTATGGAAGATCGACAGGTCTCTGGTGTGAAGTTCCCATGGCCCAGGGAGGAGATGCCGATGTTCTTCTACAATTCTACAGGTCCATACCACTCCTTCCCGACTTCTTGCATCGTCCTCTTGTCTAGGCCAGGAAGAGATATCGGCTTCTGGCACGTCCTATCTCACCGATCTGAGGCTATCAACATCGAGAAGATAAT